AAAGGGCAGAGTAATAAAAATGGGAGGAAAATAGGAAAGAAATTGCTGTTGCAGAATTGACAGGCCTAGATGCTGAATTGGGTAAGAGCTTGAAAGGACATGAAGATTGTGTTACTGTATTAGCCTACATATCTAGGAGTATGGGAGTACCATCAACCTATAGATGTTAACTGATCAATTTGTAAGTAATAGAAAACTACTATGAGTGATTTAAAATACAGGACATTATGTCTGTCACCAGAAAAAGAAAACAGGGTACAGGTGCTAAATGTTCTCAAAGTGGCTCACTAGCTAAAGGGCTCAATGGTGTTACAGGCCAGCTTCTCTTTGTGTTTTTTTCAGGGCTATAAAATAGCTGCTATAGTTCCAGCAAGTAAGTACTTAAGGTAATAAGAAGAGAAGGAATGGTGCCTGCTGCATCTGTCCTATGCAAGGAAATCAAAACCTGTTCCAGAAATACTCCATTTCTTCTTCCACCTCTGCTGTAGAATTCTTCTTTGTTTCTTTGGCAAAAAGAAAAGCTGAGTAAGTGTTTAACTTCTCCAGTTCCTATAGTAAAGGCAAGCAAAGGAGAATATGATTGGGAATAAATGTTAAGTTACACAGTCAATAGTGTTTGACTCAGGTCGTGACTTAGTCCCACGGAGAAGAGAAGGCTTAGGAAGTTAAATTAGGAATTTGGTTTCAAACTTGCTGAGGTTAAGAAGATATTACAATACCTTAGTGGAAAGGCAGTCATTAGGACATGAAAGAGATGATATTGCAGGAATGGATGAAATTAGGAGATAAGCCTACGATAAAAGAAACACCAAATGTGGTGAGAATGCAGGGCAACAAAAACTCTTATTTATTACTGGTGGGTTTGAAAAATGAATGGTACAGAATCTCTGGAAGACTGGCATTTTCGTATAAGAGTAAACAGTTTTATTCCGCAATCACAGTCCTTAGTATTTACCCAAATATGTTGAAAAACTTATGCCCACACAAAAACCTGTACATGGATGTTTATAACAACTTTATTCATAATTGCCAAAATATGGAAGCAACCAAAATGTCCTTGAGTAGGTGCATAGATAAACATACTGTGGTACATCCAGGAAATGGATTATTATCAAATACTTAACAGAAATGGGTTATGAAGCCATCAAAGGGTATGGAGGAACTTTAACTGAGTATTCCTAGGAAATAAGACAGTCTGAAAAGGCCACAAACTTTGTGATTCCAACTATAAGACATTCTGGAAAAAGGCAAAACTATGGGGACAGTAAAAAGAGTAATGGCTGGCAGGTACTGGAGGCGGGCGGAGGAATAAACAGGTAGAGGACAGAGGATTATTAAAGTGCAAGTTTTCTATATGATATTACAATGGTAGATACATGTCATTTAAATCTGTCAAAACTTACAGAATGTACAACACTGAGTGAGCACTAATGTAAATTATGGACTTTGGGTTTAACTGATTTAGGTTCATGGATTGTAACAACTGTACCACTTTGGTGCTGGATGGCAGGGGCATGTATATGTATAGGGACAGAATATAGGCTGGAACTCTGTACTTTCTGCTTAATGTCTGTCAACCTAAAGCTGTTCTAAAATGCAAAATACATACATATTTTTTGTTTTTAAAAAGAAGTATAATAAGAGACTAATCACATAACTCTGGGCAATATGTATACTTTAGGCATAGACAGAATCCCAGGCACCAGCAAACCATAGGGAAGTGTTTCAGGAGGATGGGAGCCATGACTGAAATGTATTCTAGTTAGGCTGACAGGGATACTGAGTAGAATAAGGAATGATAAATTTCACAGATTTAACCATCAGAGGTCACTGATAATCTAAGAAAGAATGGTTTTCAATGGAATTCCAGTGGAGAAGTTCAACTATTGGAAGTTAAAGATGTGTGATAAGGAAGGTAAGTGAATAAAATGAGAGAGGAAAGAAAGGCAGTATATATTCAACTTTTTAAATTAAGTCTTACATCTGCATATTTATGGCTAAGGTGATTTATTTAAAAAAATTACATGTCCAGAATTGTGTCCCTTAAGATAAAAATTTATTTTAAATGAGAAAATAAGCTTTTTTTTCAAATTAACTCTCAGGCTATAGACCAGTATCAGTATAAATTCAGCCCCTTATCCTACATGTACCACTGTGTTTTGCTTGTTATTGGGAAAAATCGCTAACTTCATAAAAGTAGAGAAATAGTGTCATGCTAGCAAGTGTATCCAGTATAATTCAATTCTACTTCAACAATAATGCTTATAAATGATCATCAAAAATCCAATTTTATGCTTTACCATAAAAATAATTTAGAAATAATTTTCTGGTTATTGGAATAAAGAAAGATATTATTTGAATGGCAGTAGATTATTAAAAAGTATTTCCTTGCACAATAATCATATACTTGCCATAACCATCAATGAGAAAGTTCTCTGTAATGTATATCCATTAACTTAGACTCTGCCTAAACATATCTCTAGGACTGCTTCCTGTAGGAATTTCAACATAACACAAAGAAATAAAGCATGAATTTTTCAGCTCTCACTCTTTTCAAGTTTACTTTTCTTACTGATATTAATAATAGTAATACTAGAAATATTTTTGGCAGACTGAAAGCTCCTAGAGAGAGTGACTCTTAAAAAATTCTTCCTAAAGCTTATTTAGATATTAAATGAAGAGTGAATCACTGAACAAACAAAAAAGATACTTGTAAGTGGATTTAAAAAAGTAAGCATACAACTCAGAAAGGTGACAGTTGATTCACTAGTTAGTAATAAACTTATTATTCATTATTTATATGGCAACTTGAAGATACAATAATAAAAGCAGCTAATAAAGAACAAAATCCCTGAAAGGTAAATAATTTTAAAAAAAGTAATCAGACCAAACTAGATGTATTACAAATGACCTAATTTTCATAATAAATGTAAGGTTTCTCATGAGGAAACATGGCATAAAATAACTGAAAGATGGTTCAAAGCCAGTATTATATAAGACAGATATTTTTTAAAAAGCTAAAATGAACACAGGAGCTTTAAAAAGATTTAATTGATGAGAGTTTTAAAAATTAATTCTTCCTCTCATTCTTACTCTACAAAAAATTTAAGTTGGCTTAGGTAATAGATGAAGTTAAAATGGATTAAAGGATAACAAGAAAATCTGAAAAGTCTATAGAAAAACAAGAGCAACTAGAAAAGACTTTAATGTAGAACATTTGTCCAGAGTAAAAATGTAGCTTTGCTTATGTATTACTTTGAATTATATAATCTACAGTTTACAGAGATTTCTATTTTATGACGGTTTACATTATGTTTTGTTTTGTTTTGAACTTCCAGCTTTCTTTTGATCTGTATCTTGCCTTCTAATGTTAACCTTTTAGAAATGTGGATCTATTTCTTTCTAAAAATAGCAGCTGCCATTTAATCCAACTGAACATAACTACACAACCAAAAATGCCAGAAAAGACTAGGAAATTATTATGTACTTAGCAAACCAGAATTTCTATTTTAGATTCTGTTTTAAATGGGAATAGCTCTATCACATTGAACACATGACATCTGTTGCCTAATGCGGATAATTAGCACACATGACGGAAACTGTCTTTAAAACAATGCTATTTTTGATTTGTTAAGTATACTTTAAAAAATAATTACACTTAATTTTACTCGCACAACAGTAAATTCCTTGGGTAATTAAAAAATAATCACAGCAATATACAGTTCTTTTACATTTGTCATTCTGGTCTATGAATTTGAGAGAAAGAAGAGAAAGTACAGTAAACAATAAAGTTCTTCTGTAATCTGTAGCAAAAAATGAATTTAAGGCAACAAAGTACAATACAATCCTTTTAAGAGCTTGTTTTTTCTTACTGCCTAGTAACAACAATAACAAATCTTTTGTTTGTCATGGATATGTTTTTGTTTTTATTTTTGACCTGTTAACAGGAATATAAGCACCTTGAGGGCAGAACCACTACTATGTCACAGGCACTATGCTAGGAACCAGGACAAACACAAAAAAAGGAGAATGGAAAGTCATAAGCATCTTAAGAAAAAATTACAACTAGTAGAATCTAATGTCCTTTTTCATAATTATTTGATCTATATTACAATGAAACAGAATTTTTCATGAAATGTAAACTTTACTTTTTTCAAGTTCTAGTAGATTGTATTTTCTTTTCTTTTGTTTTTGTTGTAAGCAAGCCTTTAAGTGATATTTCAATCACGAAACATATTCATATATCTTTCAAGAAGTGTCAAGTCTGTGGATTACTAATATTACAAGACATTTAAAAAATGAGTGCAATAAAAATAAAAGCCTAAAGTACTCTCCAAATTGCATATCTATGTATAATTTCTGCTATTTTTTTACTAAACTCTTTAATTTTGAAATTTACTTTGAAGCAAAGAGATTTAACTGTTTTTTCATTACCAAGTGCTACACTGTATTGTCACTTCATGATTTTATATTATATAAAGTAGATATTCTACCCTTTAATTTACATCTCAAATTTTCTTGACATTGTCACCAATTTAGCTTTCATACATGTTTATTTAAACATTTTAAAACTTGTCATATTATGGAGAAAATTGGGGTGAGCACTTAATGAGGTAGATAACTGTGGAATCACTATTTGTAAACCCCAAACCAATATTGTATATAACTGTACTTCAGTTCAAATGAATACTTTTGTCAGCTTTTACTAAGTACAAATGGTAATAATACATTTTAAATTCAGAAACAGAATGAACATGTACCAAAAGTTATTAACATACCACCATACAAAATTCAGAAAATATGTTGTTTTCATGTACACACACATGAAATAAAATAATACCTCAGCGGAAGTGTGCTATATCTGTGTTTAAAGAAGGGGTTGCTGGCAAACATCACAACTCACTTTTGCTGAAATGTACACAACTGATATATGCAGCACAGAAAGCTGGCACCTAGGGCTTACAACCTTAATTTGCCTGCAAGAAGGAACGGAGATTTACCTTCAGAGCACGTTCTTGATTGTTTTCAGCAGTCAGATGTCTCATGTTGTTTGCTGAAGTCTGGTTCTGCTCTTTCAGATGATGAAGCTCCTGCTCTAGCCGTTTGCACTGCCACAGGGGAAGAATCCCATTAAGTAAAGGAGTTATAGCATTTTTTTTTTACCAAGCCACATGAATGAATGTAAATAATACCATTATATTCTCTAAAAGACAATGTATCTTTGGCAACAAGAATAGTAAATTAAAAGTAATGTTGAATATGAACAAAATAATAGTATTTATAGTACTCTGGCAATTCAACTGCAATTTTCAGTTTGTCTTTTATTAATATAAATATTACCATAGAAATTAGAAAATACTTTTTTATAAAATTAGAATCAAACTACATTTAAAATTATTTTCTTCATTAACCAAATACTTTTCATTATGTATCTGTTGGCTGAATAAAACATGCTTCTAAAAATCACACAGGGTTCTAAATAAACTACAATATAATATTTTGCAATGAATTTTTCTTAAGTAAAAATATCATAAAATATATATTAAGAGGTTTTTCAGATTTTTAGAAATTACCTAAAGAAAACTTGTGTAGGGAAAAAAGTAACAACCATAGAGAGCTACAGAACTTCAAACAACTAAGGAAAGAAATGTTTTTAATTTCTTTGACTAAATCTTGTTTTCAAGTAAAAGAAGTGATAACAAACATGTGAGATTTTGACTTACAGGGAACATATAAGAACATAAGTAAAAAAGAAGTTATAAATATAAGCATAAATGGGCAACTATGTTAAAAAAATCATTGTAATAATATGCCATTTGAATACAAGATTTTAATATGAATATACCAAACATTTTTTTGAGCAGGTATAAACTAATGTGCTGCAAGTCAGGACCATATAAAGATACATGGGGGATTGGCTAAAGGAGAAAGGTACTAAACCTTTCTTTCAGAAAAATGTTAAAAATCACTCCTAAATTTACCTATTTTTAAAGTATGATATTTAAGTAATGACCATTAAGTCCACATATTGATTCAAGATCTAGACAAAGTTACTTCTAGATTATTTGACAAATGGTTGTCATAATGAATTAAACATCTATTATTATGACACAATAAAGATGTAGTCACAATTCAAATGGGCATTTCTTACTATTCTAATGTTGACTTCTTCTGCCTCTCTCCTCTGAAATATTCTATAGTCTACATAGGTATTTTCCAACCTTGAGAAATATACAAGTCCTTTTAAAAGAAAAAAATCTTTACTGATATTAACTTAAATTATACACTGATATTTATATACAAATACAAAATTCAGTATACATTCTCGTGAATGATACAATTATAAAACCAAACACTATAAATTAATCAAAATTCACAACTCAAGACTTAAAATTAACATTAACTTTGTAGATACAGTTATACTGAAACTAAGTTCTGCAAATATGATGATATGATATGACTGACTGACATGACGGCCGGCCCTTTCACAGACTGTGTCTACTCCATCATGTGCTGGGAGATACGTTAATACACTTACCACATTTTTTTAAATTACGCGAGTGAAACCTTTGTGACATGACATCATTTGGCCTTTATTTGGAGGGGACACATAATTTACACATTAAACTCTGTATCTACCCCTTTTTATCCTCCAATGCTTAAAATATTTGGTCACAAATGTAATCAAAATACAAACGTGTCCAGTGAAGAGACAAATCATGAAGCATGAAAATCAGTAAGACAACAATAAGCATCATAATCTAGTAGAAGTATTCCTTACTAGAGTTATCCTTTGCATTTTTGATTCATTTTAATACAAAATTATTACATATGAAGCATTAAAATGGGATAACTGTATGTGACCTAAAGAGGTTTCAAAGGTTGGGTAGAAAATTTTGGCTATGGGAGTAAAAGAACACTTCATGGAGCAAGTGATATCCTCATTGGGCTTATTTTGGGCATTTGATCTTATAGGATGAAAGAACAAAGAATGAAGGTAGAAACATCAAGAGTCTATCTGGGGAATGTGAGAAACCATGCTCAGGAACTGTCTGGTCATCTCCTTTCTGTGTTACTAAGTAAATCAGGAATGATCCAAGCATACAGACATCTTTTTTTATCTGCATGATGCACAAAGGAGAATTCATTTAGTCCTGCTCAAGAAATTTAACTTATTTTAATACTAAATGGGAATCAAACTATGATGAGCCAATAATCTTTGAACTGAATAAAAACATATATAAGTGCTCTTGTCAAATACGTATTTGTGATTTACAATTAACTATATTTCTTTAGGTTTAATCAATCTAATATTATTTCTTTATTTGATGTTATACCTGGAAGCAAAGAGATTTAACTGTTTTTTCATTACCAAGTGCTACACTGTATTTTCACTTCATGATTTTATATTATATATTCTACCCTTTAATTTACATCTCAAATTTTCTTGATATTGTCACCAATTTAGCTTTTATACATGTTTATTTAAACATTTTAAAACTTGTCATATTATGGAGAAAATTGGGGTGAGCACTTAATGAGGTAGATAACTGTGGAATCACTATTTGTAAACCCCAAACCAATATTGTATATAACTGTACTTTAGTTCAAATGAATACTTTTTAAATGTAAAAAAAAAATGAAAGAAATATAGGCAGTGCCAAAAGAATAGTTTAGGAAATCTTATACAATTTTAATCAGGAAAGACAATACAGAAAAAGATATTTAAGTAAAGACCCTAGGAAGGTAAAGTAGTAAATCTTTAGTAATTTGGAAGGAGTGTTCAAGCAGAAGGAAAAATAGCTGCAAAGGCCCTGAAGTAGAAGCTTGTCTGGCATTTTTGAGTAATACTAAGGAGAACAGTGTAACAGGAATAAAAAAAGCAAGATGGAGAATATTGGGAATGGGGTCAGAAGAGCCTTGATAAAGACTGGCTTTTACTCTGAGATGGAAAGTTGCCAGAGGGTTTTGAACAAAGAAGCACCTGATTTATCTTTACATTAAGAGTCACTTTTCTTGCTACACTAAGAATAGACTCTAGGGAGATTAGGGCAGAAGCAGGAATTCTATAGTTGGGAGGTTTCTGCATAGTCCAGGAGTGATGAGGTAGGTTAGACTAGGATGGTGGCAGTGCAACCGTGGAGGTACTGAGCAGTAGTCAGACTCTGAATATATTTTAGAAGGTAAAGGCAAAATAATTTCCTTTCACTGGTGGTCATTCTTGTTCTCTTGTTCCTGACCTTAAAATGGAAATGCTTCTATCAGGTCTTCATTAAGCTGTATTTCAGTAGATGTTCTTATGCACATTAAGGACATACTTGTTATTCTTTGTTTACTGAAAGGTCCCACTTCCCTTCTATAAAATTACAAGTGTGCTTGTATTTTATTGAATGCTTTTTCCAAATGTGTTGTATGGTAAATTATCTCATTTTCTAATGTATAACAATTATTTGTTTACTGTGTTGAGCCCTAAGTGATCCCATATATTATTTCAGTTACATTAATTTGTATATGTGTATGGAAAAGATACGTTAGTTTGGTTTATAAATATTACATATCAGATTGCTGGTATGTTTCTATGTGAGACTAACCTATATTTTTCCTTTCTTTAGGCTATCCTTTCCAGTTTTATCAAGGTTGGATTAGCCCCATAAAATGAGTTTTATCATTTTATTCTCACACAAAGTTTATACAATGTAATACATACTTAAAAAATTGGTAGGAAGCCCCAATCAAACCATCTTAGCATTCCTTCTGGGTTCAAGTTCCTATTTTCAGAGACACAGCTTTTACTTTTTCTGCCTGAAAATGTGATTATTTTGTTCTCACACTCTTTACTGGCTAGAGCTGCTATGATAAAAGTTATTTCCTTGGCACTTTGGAGATACCATTCTATTGCAGTCTGGCATCTGTTGTTGTAATTTGAGGTTACTATTAGTCTAATAATCATTCCTTCGTAGGTTATTCTGTCTTTTCTCAATGACTGTTTTAACATCTTTAGTTTAACTTTGAAGTTCTACAATTCTGTAATATATCAAGGGGTGGATGTATTTTAACCTTCTAGATACTCCTTGTGCTTCCTAAACCTGGAAAATCCAGTTATTTTTCTCTTGGAAAGTTACCTACCTCCCATTTGAATATTAATCATATTATTAGACCTATTTTTTCTTTTAGTTTAATCTCTATTTCATATTTTAAATCTATATGTGTGTGAATTCTGAACATCTGTCATTAGTGAAGTGAGACTCTTGATTCTGTCTTCAGGTCTGTCTCTTCCTCTGTTCACTTCATTTCAGTGATTATGGTTTTTACTTCAACGTGTTTTCTTGCTTTCTTTTTCACTTCTATCTTTTCTTACAGTACTTTTTAAAATGTCTAATGATTTCTCTGTTTAAATACATATTTTATACTCTTTCATGTTTTCCTATTATTTCAAATTGTAATGGCCTAATTCTTTTAATTATCATTCATGATAACCATTCATAGTGGACTGCTTCCTTATGTGGTGTGTAGAAAGGTAGAGAATCCTATTTTTTGGTAGAAGTTTTGTATTAACCTATGTGTGGAAGAATTATCAGATTGGTTTTGCATTTGTTTCTTTTGGGTGACCCAAAGTTTTTACTCATCTAGAACAGGTTTTTATGTTAATGTGTATTTTGTGGAACCTCACTATGATAGTTCTGTAAATTGTGTCCATACTTCCACATGGAATGGATTTAGTCCTTCAATTCCTCAGGATAATTTTTCCCCCTCTGCAGTCATGACCAAACTTCCTTGTCACTTTCCTGAATCAGTGAGTCGCCTTTTTTTCTAGATTCCTTTACATGTGAAAGGTAGTCTTTCTATGGTATTGGATATATATTGAGGGTCTCTACTTGTTCCCACTTCAAGTGGTTCTATCACCAGTCTTTATACAGGAAATAAAATCCATCTTCTTAGTCCTTGGACCCTGTATCTTGTCTTACATCCTTACTGAACATGTATGTTTGCAACTCTTTAGGTTTCCTTTTAACTTTCAATCCTCATAGATTTTCTCCTTCTTTCATTCATTCTGAAAAGATGTGGGGAGAAGAATATGCCCAGGCCAATTTTTGTACGAAAAATTGCA